GGCCGGTCCTGGAGCACGTGCAGATCGCCACACGCTGTCCTCCAGGGGTAAAGGTGTCAACCCACTGATCCTGGAGGACAGCGTTGCTCACCAGGTTCGTCGAGAACGAGGGGAGGTGGAAACCCGACAACGAGCCAGACGGAACCGCCGGACAAGGGAGGACAGTGGTGGACTGGGCAAGGACTGGGCCCCCAGAGGGGTCAGCCAAGGAGACTGGGACCGGTGCAGGAAGCGGTGTGAGCTCAGTACTGTCACGAAAGAAACAGCGGGAAGCACCTGAGTCAAGGGTGAAGGTGTGACAGGCCTCAGCCGGTGCGGTACCTGAGAGAGCAGTCTCTGTGGGTGCTGTACCTGAGAGAGCAGACTCGCAAACAGCCGGGACAGCACTGGAGGGAGCAAGTACAGGGGGCACCATACCAGAGAGAGCAGACTCACTAGTACCCAGGGCAGCGGGCTCTATACCTGGGTCAGGCGGCACACACAAGTAACAGTCTCCCTCGGCACTAACAGTCAATGCATACATGGCAGCAATAATAGCATCATAGTCAAGAGCAAAGATATCAACACCAGCCCTCATGAGCTCAGCCCAGCGGGGGCGCTCAACATCCTCGCCCATCTCCTCACGCCAAGCGTCGTCAAGGCGGGAGAAGCAGCGGTACGGGGTGTGGAACCTCCCACACGTCTGTCCCTTGCGGTCACCTGTGCGAATGACATAGGAACAGCGGCCACTGCCCCCCGACGTCCCACGCTGAGCAAGCCACTCACGAAGCTGTTGGGTCGTCTGGGGACGCTGCTGCTGCTGGGAGCTCTGGCCCGAGCCAGTGCCTCCACTCCGACCTCCGCCGCCACCACTACCACCGCTCCGACCGCCACCGCCACCACCGCCACCACCGCCACCGCCGCCACCGCCGCCGCCGCCACTACTGCCACTGCTTCCTCCGCCGCCCCCGCCTCCACCGCCGACCCCACTCCCACCAGCGCTCCCGCCACCGCTCCCTCCAGCACCGCCTCCCCCCCCACCTCCCCCACCTCCTCCCCCCCCAGCGCCACCCCCGCCACCCTTGCCCCCCTTGCCCTTGCCGGTGCGGCGCCTCCCACCAGGAGCAGAAGCAGCGCCAGCAGACTCAGCACCAAGGAAGTCAACAGCAGCAGCAGTAGCGTAGGAGGGAGCGAGGGGAGAGGGAGAACACCCCTCAAAGATGGGGGTGCGAGGAGCGCCACGAGCAGCACCGACAGCGACAATGCTCTTTTCGGCCGCTAGCAGCTGCTCCTCTAGGAGGGCGACTGTGAGCTCAGTGGGACAGCGAGCAAGGAAGTGGTCTCGAACTGAGCTGAGGGTGTCAGGGAGACGGGTGACTATGAAGTGGAGTGTCCAGTACAGTGGAGGGGGATTCTTAGCGCAGAACTCGGTGGGAAGGGCGGCACGCAGGCGAGCATCACTAGTGCGAAGGTGAGTGATAAGATCGGCGACTGTAGCAAAGGTGGACAGCTCAGGGAACAGGTACGGCAGCATGAGGCGGCTAAGCTCGGCTGTGGCAGGCGAGGAGTAGCGAGCAATGACAGCATCGTACAGGGCCTTAGCGGATTTGCAGTCGCCAAAATGCTCGAGCTCAGCTAGCGGCAGGTGACTGCGAATGGCTAGGCGAGCAGCTGCGTCACGAGTCTGCCAGTGGGAACGAACACTAAGCTCAGCTGTGGCAGGAGGGGCAGGTGCAGCACCAGACGCGTAATCATAGAGCGACACATGCTCCTTGCTATCGCTCAGAAGGAACAGCTGCAGGTCATCCAGCCAAGTGGCGAACTTCACAGGGCGGCCCTCAGCATCGAACGACAGCACGCGGATGGAAGCCATAGCGACAGTGCGACTGAGCAAAGGAAGCTGCCGCAGCGCTGCAGGTAGGTAGCTCGGCGGGAAGCGCGGCGGGCGGGCGACGCGGCGAGCGGGCAGTGCGGGGGGCGCGGCGAGCGGGCAGCGCGGCGGGCGGGCTGCGAAGCGGGCAGCGGGCGGGCGGGCGACGCTGCAAGCGGGCAGCGGGCGGGCGGGCGACGCTGCAAGCGGGCAGCGAGGCGGGCGGGCGACGCTGCGAGCGGGCAGCGCGGCGGGCGGGCTGCGAAGCGGGCAGCGGGCGGGCGGGCGACGCTGCAAGCGGGCAGCGAGGCGGGCGGGCGACGCTGCGAGCGGGCAGCGCGGCGGGCGGGCGACGCTGCGAAGCGGGCAGCGGGCGGGCGGGCGACGCTGCAAGCGGGCAGCGGGCGGGCGGGCGACGCTGCGAGCGGGCAGCGCGGCGGGCGGGCTGCGAAACGGGCAGCGCGGTAGGCGGGCGACGCTGCGAGCGGGCGGCTCGGCGGGCGGGCGACGCTGCGAGGGGCGCGCGAGGGCGCTAACGAGAGGCGCACGAGGGCGCTAACGAGGGCGCGCGAGGGCGCTAACGAGGGCGCGCGAGGGCGCTAACGAGGGCGCACGAGGGCGCTACGAGGCTAGGGCACGGGGTAGCGTGGTAACCGCATGCGAGCGGTGGTGGGCCCTTAAAAAAAAACGGTCGGTAGGTCCTAGGGACCTCCTGCTCTGATACCATGTTAACAGAACTAGGCAAGAAATGGGTGCATTGAAAGAAACAATTGGGTACAAGTAGCTAACCCTAGTTGGGTTTGTACCCTGTATTGGCTACCCCACTACAGCCTACCTACATATAAATAACACATTACAACTTAACAGGCCATTCTCCACTCATACAGACAGATGCATCACAACAATAGCGAACACGTTAAGTGTTGCACCAACAATTGAAAGGTGCTTTACTGTAACTCTACAATGAAGAACTACAGAAAGGTTGGGTTTAGGGTATCAAACATTTCCAACAATAGCAACAAGTCGATCACACGAAGTTGCCGTCGCCAATACGGTCAATTTCTTCCTCCAGGCTTTTGACCATCATAAACGCTCTCTTCCTTTCTTCTTCTTCCTCGTCCACCTTAACTGCTGCACTCACCTCCTCCTTCCCCGCCACTTCATTTCTAATCGCCTGCAGCTCATTGGCAATGTCCCCCATGGTTGGCCGGCTTGCTGTGCGACCCACCGTGCAGCTCACTGCCAGCTGAGTGAGGCGCAGCAGCACTGCCTCTGGAACATCCACGCTGGGGTTCTTCAAATCCTCCAGGTTCTTTTTGGACAGACGCTCGTTTACCTAAAGAAGGGCAGGATGTTGGAAAGGGAGGGGAGGCAGTTAGGAGTGAGAAACACAAGGCACATGAGCAATTGAGTTGTGTCGTGAGTTGGTGGTGGTGGTAGTGGCGGCGGCGGCTGTTTTGGCGGTGGCGGCGGCGGCGGTGGCGGCGGCGGCGGCGGCGGCGGTGGTGGTGGCGGTGGTGGTGCTTACCCAACGTAGGATGTGCATGCTCTCCCCCCCAGTCTCAGCGATTGGAGAACGTCCGGTAAGCACCACGAGGATGAGCACTCCAAAGCTGAAGAGAGGGAGAGGGGGAGGGAGAGGCAGAGGGAGAGGGAGGGGGAGGGGGAGGGGGAGGGGGAGGGGGAGGGGGAGGGGGAGGGGGAGGGGGAGGAGAGGGAGAGGGAGAGGGAGAGGGAGGGAGGGAGACGGAGAGGGAGAGGGAGTGGGGAAGGAAGAGGAAGAAGGAGAGGGAGAGGGGGAGGGAGAGGCAGAGGGAGAGCGAGAGGGAGAGGGAGAGGGGGAGGGGGAGGGAGAGGGAGAGGGAGAGGGAGAGGGAGAGGGAGAGGGAGAGGGAGGGGGGAAGGAAGAGGAAGAAGGAGAGGGAGAGGGAGAGGGAGAGGGAGAGGGAGAGGGAGAGGGAGAGGGAGAGGGAGAGGGAGAGGGAGAGGGAGAGGGAGAGGGAGAGGGAGAGGGAAAGGAAGAGGAAGGAGAGGGAGAGGGAGAGGGAGAGGGAGAGGGAGAGGGAGAGGGAGAGGGAGAGGGAGAGGGAGAGGGAGAGGGAGAGGGAGAGGGAGAGGGAGAGGGAGAGGGAGAGGGAGAGGGAGAGGGAGAGGGAGAGGGAGAGGGAGAGGTGTTGGCGTCATGGTGCCATGCTTGAGACGAGATGACAGCATCCAAGTAACGTTTTCACCAACCACCAGCATACACTTTTTAAAAATATAAAATGCAAATGCTTGAACTGAAGGGGCTAACAGCACTCGAAAACGAAAATAAGCACAAGATAACTCTCTAACCTTTGCAAGCCTACGGGCATCACCTCATCCTCCCTCAAGTACCTGTAAACATCGGTGGCCGTGGTTGCCTTGTTTGTCCTTGAGTAGACTGGATCCACATAGCCCACTGTTCCCATCACTCGAGTAGAACCCACTGTCGTGCCCTCTCCCACCCTCACCAATCCAAAATCAGCAATCTTAGCCTATGGAATGGGGATATCGTTAAAACAAGGTTGAAAGATGAAGAACAAGTTGTTGAATCGGGTGGGAGGAGATTGATTGCGCACCGGGAAAAGAAGTATGTATTTGCATTTTACAATGGCAGGACATATCCAGGACGCATTGCATACCAAAGTGTTCGATTATACTTGCGGTATTATAAGACAGGGACCTGGGCAGCTGAATTTTGCCTGTTTGAATTGACTAAAATTCAACTCCTTACCCACCATTGAGAAGCTGTTTGGAACTTGCCTGGATGTCTACACTAATGAGGATATGGGTGGGTTTGACATCACGATGCACGCGTCTCGGTCTATTCATGATAATCTAAGATGTGACTGTAATGCAATGGCCAAGTCCTCTTTCCTTTTCTTCCTGCTCGGAGCTTACCTGCATATCAGCACTGATGAGGATGTTGGCGGGTTTGATGTCGCGATGCACGAAGCCAAAGCTGTGGAGATACTCCAAGCCACGCGCCGCCCCAATCAGGATGCCCAGCTGCTGCGGCAGGGTCAGTTGGGAAGGTGCCTCTGCGGGAGGAAGGCAGCATAATGCAGGTAGAAGTGAGCACACAGCATTAGGCACGTGGCATTGGGCATATGGCATTAGGCACATGGAATTAGGCACATGGAATTGAACACGCGGCATAAGGCACACAATTATGGAATGTGTCATCACAGGCACGAGGGGCATTGAACGTAGACTCACTTGCAGGATCCAGCCACCTCTCGAGGTCACCGTTGGGTACAAACTCATAGATGAGGACTTGTTCTGGCCGCGTCCTCATGTCACCCCCCACAGCAAACCCAAGAAGTCGCACGATGTTGGGATGGTTCTTGTCGGCCATTTGCTGCACCTGCGGGGCGTTGAGAATAGCATACAACACATATGCAGCAGCACCGCCCCAGAAATGGTGATATGGGTTCGCGTAGCAGAAACATTGTTTAGACAAAACATGACGCAGCGAAAATGTACGTATGCATGGAAAGTATATAAATAGAGATGTGTACGCACATATGCACCCTGGAACCATTTCTTTAACAAACTCAACATCTATCAAATTGGCTTCACCTCCCGTTGGAAGTCCACGTCTATCAGCTTGGCGCGCTTCACAGCCCACTCAGTGACACCATCGCGAGGAGACACCCCCTTGAACACGTCACCAAAGGCACCCGATCCTAGCTGGTTGTCCTCTGACCAGTTGTTGGTGGCTTCTTCGACCTCAGGAAGAGAAAACTCGTTGTTTTTGTAGACTGCCAAACTGCCAGCCGTGGCTGCTAGTGGGGTGAGGGTGGAGGAGGCGTGATGGCGGGTGAGCGGTGGGGAGTGAGGGTGAGAGGTGAGGGGTGAGGGCGAGGGGGCGAAAAAGGCACACACAGGACGCGATGAAAGCTTGTGTGGCACTTGTCGCCTTGGTTATCAAGCAAAAGGTAGTGGGCTAAAGGAAACATCATCTTCGTTGCCAGTTGGTTGAGTATGGACCAACTGAAAGCCAAAAGTCGGCTGTAAACCAAAGCACGTTCATTCCCACCTGTTGCCTTCTGCTGCTTGTGCCTGAGGTAAAGCAGCACAGCAGCCAGCAGCAGCACCATGACAGAAACAACGATGCCAATGATGGCCCCCAGCGATAAGCTACTGCCCCCCCAGAAGTTGCTGTCTCCGTCACGCTGCTGCTGCTGCTGCTGGTGCTGCTGCTGTTGATGCTGGTGGTGGTGTTGGGGCCTGCTATGGGTGGTGCCGCTGAGGTGGGGTTGAGGCAACAATTTCCGGCAATCCAGAGAAACAAGCTCTGAAATGTCAGATGCAGGTTTAAGGTCAGGTCGCTTGGGCAAGGTTCGGAGCGACAGTTGCACAAGAGAGATTTCAAAAGCAAGTCCAGAGAAACAATCTGAATAATGTAATTTGAGGCTACTGAGCTTGATGCGTTTGCTCAACCTAGGCTTAAAAAAAAAAACATGGGACTTAAAATCATGAACCAAAACTCTGTCTGTTCGTTCTTTTTGTGTCTCAGAGTTGCTCTGGTTAGTAAGGGCTTCTTTTGATCCAAACCGTCAGTTAGTCAGAAATCGTTGTTTCTTTCGTTCTTTGTTTCTAAATGCAAGAAAAGATGCAGTGATGCTCTGCGCTCACCTGTTGAGTTAAGACAGGTTTTGCAGAAGGAAGGGCACTTGCGGCAAAAGGCAGTCTCGTTAGTCTGCTTCTGACCACAGCTGGTGAAGTTTTTCGGACATGTGAGGTTGGTGCCGTTGATGATGCTGCCAAGGAGAGGGGTGCGAGAATAGCCGAGCCGTGGCTCTTGATTGTTTTAAAACGCCGCATAGGCGTCGACCATAGGAACTTTTGCAGATTCCAAGCACACAGCAAACACGCCGCGTCACACTGTAGAAGCTTACAAGTTTTGCAAGTAGAGAAGGCTTCCCATGGCTGGCGGGATTGTCCCTGTGAGGTTGTTTCCGTCGAGGTGCCTGCTTTCACATGGGCAAGAACAACACAACAAGAGGGAGTGAGAACGAGACGGAGTGAGCAAGTCAGAAACACATGACGGAGTGAGAAAAACGACAAGGGGCGGAAGGAGTAACGAACCCAATGAAAGACAGCCCTTATGCTGACAAGGGAAGGTGATGCATGTATGAATGAATGCGGACAGGTTTTTTCGGCTGTGCATGCTGCCAGAGCCAACGTTGGATGGAATAACCCTGCATAACGAAGTCGGTCCCAGGCACAGCTGCAGACTCCAAGCACGCAACAGTAACTATCTATTGTGACAACAAGGAAAAAACAACTTACAAGCTTTCCAGGTAAATGAGGCTTCCAATATAGGGATGGTGGGATGGGCCCAGAGAGATTGTTTTTGGACAGCAACCTGAATACACATTGGCAAGTGCATCAATGGGTCACGATCTCAATTCCTTCCTCCCATCACGGCCCATCACTGCATGTGGTGGCTTGATGGGAACACATCAAGGGAAAGGAAAGAGAGAAAGTGGCTGGGCTGCTTATATCTCACAAAAGCCATTCAAGCATTGGGTGTTTGCTTACAAGAAAAGGTGGTGTGCCAAGTATACTGACAGATGTTTTAAGCTGCGCATGCTGCCAATGCTGGATGGAATAGACCCGCTTAACGAATTCCCACTCAAGTCCCTGATTAGCCAAGAGGGGAGAGCGTGGGTGGATGCGTTCCACCCACCAACAGGTACAGCAACGGAAGAAAGGGCACAGGGAGGAAGTGAAGAACGAAGGTGGGAAGAAGGGGGTGAAGGAATGGTGACAAAAATGAGAGATAGGGTACGTGCATGATTTGTACTCGCAGTATGGGGAGAAGCGAAGGGAGAGGGAGCAGCGAAGTCAAGAAAAGGGGAACAGACAAGAGGCGACATGGGGATAGGTGCAAAGAGGAGAGGCGAAGAGAGTAGAGGAGAGGAGTAAGAACGAAGCGGATGAAGCTGTCAACAGCGAAGAGAGGCACAAAGAAGATATGGAGTACAATGAGGGGGGCTTACATGGTGTCTAGAGAAAGAAGAGAGTGGAGGAAAGGGTAGGGCTTACGAAAGGGGGGGCCTGACAAGGGGGGGCCTGACAAGGGGATGGAGGAAGAAGGGAGGGCTTACAAGGACCCCAAGTCGGTCAGTGCGCCAAGGCCAGTAGGGATAGAGCCGTTGAGAAGATTAGTGTAGAGATACCTGTGGTGGTGGTGGATAGGGTGAAAATGGTATTTCCTTTTGTGAGAATAGAGGCCAGAATAAATCAGCACCAGGGGCTGATATGTTGTGCAAAGAATAGCTTGTGGTCATCTCTAGTGTCGTCTTTGGTGTCACCGACTTCTACGTTCCACACAAACACTAAGAGCTATGCACACACTAAGAGACTCACACACATTAAAAGCTATGCACACATTAAGAGCTACGCACACACAATAAGAGATACACACACACTAAGAGCTACATACACACTAATAGCTACTCACACACTAGGAGCTATGCACACATTAAGAGCTATGCACACACTGCAAGGCACATATTACATCCTTATCTGTCGGAGTGCGTGCTGCTCACATGGACTTTAGTTTGCGGAGCCCACTGAAGCTAGCAGGGATGCTGCCTGAAAGCTGGTTGTAAGAGAAGTCTCTGAAAGGAAGCATCATGCACAGACAGCAACAGAAGCCATCGTAGAATTACCTTTGAATTACGGAAGAATACTACAGAGACAAGAGACGAGTAGGTGAGAAGTGAAATAATGATGGAGCAGTAACAGCAAATGATGATGGTGAAGTGAAACGATGTCAAGCAAGATCAGTGAAGTCAAGGGAGGGGGAACAAACAAGAGGCGACATAAAAAGGAGAGTATAGGAAGAAAAAGGATATGAAAGGAGATGATAGGAAGAAAAGGGATATGAAAGGAGAGGAGAGGAGAGGAGAGGAGAGGAGAGGAGAGGAGAGGAGAGGAGAGGAGAGGAGAGGAGAGGAGTATGAGCGAAAAATTATGCAGCAACCAAAAACAAAGAGAAGTGCAAAGAAGAGATAGAGAAGAATTAGGACGGTTCACAACGTGACTCGAGAAAGAAGGAAGTGGAGGAAAAGGGAAGGGCTTACAGGTGGGTGGCAATAAAATGGAGGGCTTACAAGGTCTCCAGATTGACCAGTGAGCCGAGGGCAGTAGGGATGGAGCCGTTGAGAAGATTCCTGTACAAATTCCTGTGGTGGTTGTGGAATGGAATATAAAGCGAACCGAGTTGTTGAATACCCTCCCAGACAAGGTGCTTAGAGTCCAGGATCGGAACAGCTAACCACGAACGGATATTGCAGTGTTACTAGAATGGCAAAATTTAAGCATCAACGTTGCGCCAGCATTGTTCAGATTGTTGTGTGAAAAAAAGAGGATTGTCATTGTTCTGTGGTCTTCCCCATCTGTTGTCTCCTGTCAGAATATATTCTAAATATATAAACTGCTTGTAGCAAATAGTTAGTGTACTGTTACATCAAATGTAGGTGGTGCACCCTTTCCTTTGCCTTCTTGTATAACTTGGGCCTTTGGCCCTTAGTCAAACCTCTTCTTCCTTTTTACCTCTCGATAGTTGCCTAGTACCCAAAACCCTAGGCACAACTAATCTCAACATCTCCTTCCCAGGTTCTTTCTCTGCATGAGGTCAGACTATTCTGACCCTGTGAGCGACCACACATCAATGGCATGGCATTCTCCGTCGGTCGGTATGCGTGCTGCTCACATGGACTTTAGTTTGCGGAGCCCACTGAAGCTAGCAGGGATGCTGGATGCAAGATTGTTGTGAGAGATGTCTCTGAAAAAGAAGCATCATGCACAGACAGCAACAGAAAGTCAAAGCCATTTCTATAAGTCAAAGTCAAATCAATCATAGCAACAAGCGTTAACAATGCTTTAAAGGATTTTGTCTTGCTGGCCTTCCCCATGAGCGACAACCCCTACGACCTTATGCCCGAGCAGCAGAAAGCTAAAGCCATCATAGCACTACTTGGGCGCTTATTGAAGGAGATTGCAAAGAGGAGAGGAGGTGAGAAGGAAAGAATGAGCTGTAAACCTCAACAAAGCAATAAGCAGTGCTCGTGTCGTATAGCTGGGTTCTTGAGAGTCATGGAAAGAGAAGGACATGAAACAGCAGGAAGATATGATTGATGGAGCACGGAATCAATGGGGAAATAAGGTCTAGTTGGAAAGGACACCAGAGGGTGGAATGAAGACCGGAGGGTAGGGAGTAGAGGAGAGGAGAGAAGAGAGTGGCGAAGAGGGTAGTGTTTACAGCATTGCTATGTTCGCCATGGAGCCAATGCTAGAAGGAATGGAGCCATTAAGATCATTGGCGGCGAGCTGCCTGTGTTTTAAACGAGAATACGGGATTATGAAACTTTGTTTTATTTAGATGGGGATATGGGATGTGAGACAAAAAGAGGATATGGAATTGCGAGACAACGTGATTCAAACGAGGATATGGGATGTGTGACAGTGTGATTCAAACGAGGATATGAGATGCGAGTCAATTTGATCCAAACGAGGATATGAGATGTGAGTCAATGTGATTCAAACGAGGATATGAGATGTGAGTCCATTTGATTCAAACGAGGATATGGGTTTTGAGACAATGTGCTCCAACTGAGGATATGGGGTGTGAGAGCGCCAGACAAGAGAAGAGAAGGGTAGGGCTTACAATTCTACAAGTTCCTTCATGGAACCAATCTGAGCAGGGATGGAGCCGGTGAGTAGGTTGTAGCTGAGGTCCCTGAATGGAGCAACGAGATGGATGGGTTGGGATGGGATGCCCAAGAGGCCGAGGCGGCAGTGAGGAGGGCGAAATTCACTGGTGGGTAGACATATCACCACGTGGGTAGACATATCACCACGTGGGTAGACATATCACCACGTGGGTAGACATATCACCACGTGGGTAGACATATCACCACGTGGGTAGACATATCACCACGTGGGTAGACATGTCACCACGTGGGTAGACATGTCACCACGTGGGTAGACATGTCACCACGTGGGTAGACATATCACCACGTGGGTAGACATACATATCACCACGTGGGTAGACATACATATCACCACGTGGGTAGACATACATATCACCACGTGGGTAGACATTTCACCACATGGGTACTACCTACCTCTGTACCCTTTGTCACTTGTGCACCGCTCGCAAAAGTGAACACAGCAGCAGGAACGGAAGAAACAGGAGAGATTACATGAGTTGATATGTATCAATAAAATGTATTCATATATGTGTGTTGTATTATACTCATAATAATAAGAAAAATAATTTGAGTCGGGTGGACCTCACAAGCCAAACGTATGTAGCAAACACGTCACATGAAAGCCCATCACAAATCACATTATCTTTATTACCAGAATGTGCGTTGCTCACTCATCCTGCTGTCAAAGTGAAGAACAATGTTATTGTTGTTACATCCTCTAATCAAACTAATGTACAGTAAAATTCATTTTTAAAATAAACACTGTGTACTCCGTAAAATCATTTGATGAGTCATGGTAATGGTAATGGCTGCTGGGGCCGAGTTATTTCTGGGGGTTTAACAGGCTATTATGCACCTTTTGATAAGCTGATATGCAATTGTACGAAATAGTACACTTAGGCTATGAGGCTCATGTGCATATCAGTCCATGGAGGGAGGTATGGTGCTGGTATGGAAAAAAAAATGCAAATGCCAACGCCCGTGTTTGGTCATCTCCTTGTGTAAACGATAGAGGACAGCTAAGGCTGCCAACATAAGGTCGTCTCCTTGAGTCAAGAATAAGATAGTGTCATTTCCAGTGTCAACTTTGTGCAGTTGGCACTTCATGTGCGGGCGGGAGTTGAACCAATCCCATTACTACCACTACCTCCAAGCGTATTCGTTAGGCACACACAACTCGCTTCAAGATGCATGTATGCACGTACTGCAAGTATCCCCTCCGAGATTCATGCCTCGTCAATGCAGCTCAAAGTATATTATTGAGCTCCACACAACACTGTTGCGATCCCACTCTACATGCCACTCACTCACATGTACTGCAGTTGGACGAGAGCACTGAAGCCAGCAGGGATGGTGCCTGAAATCTCGTTGTGCGAGAGATCTCTGAAAGAAGGCATGATCCATACAAACCAACAGAAAGACACAGCCATAGTTAAATGACCTTTGGTTTTTTCCATCATTGTCAAATTTTTTATTGTTCTTTTTATTCATTTTTTCTTTCTCAGAAGCCAATAGGAGATGGCACACAGGTGAGATCTTTTAAAGATAATGAAGAAAACAAGTGAGCAGGGAAATTGAATACAACAATGGATAAGCAGTAAAAATGATTGGAAAAGACTAACTGGGAACATATTATGGGGATCGATCAATAAGAATATTCATTCGAAATCCCGTCACCGGACGAGTTGCAATAGTATTGGTACTTGACTTTTATCATGAAAAGCAAATCAGGTTGAATTTCTCTTGTGTGCTGATCCTTACATTTGAGTTAAAACAGCGAGCCCACTGATGCTACTAGGGATGTCTGTGAGCCCGTTCCCGGCTATTTTACTGCAAGGAACATATGCAAGCGTGCAGGAGACCGATATGTTAGACGACGGTGAGTAGAAGCAGAGCAAAAGGAGAAGCAGGATGGTGAGGAGTGATATGATAGAGAGACGATGTTCGAGTAGGCAAACCAGGGTGGTGATTTTTAAGTGAAAGCAGGTGAGGTGGTTGGGTTGATGGATAGAACAGAGAGAATTGGGCGGATCTAGAGGAGGAAGAGGGGGAAAGTGGAAATTGGCAGATGGGCAGATGGTTTTGGCAGATGGCAGATGGCAGGAAGGCAGGCGAGGTGGATGGTTTGATGGATAGAACAGAGAGTTTTGGGCGGATCTGGTGGAGAAAGAGGGGAAGATTGGAAATTGGCAGATGGGCAGATGGTTTTGGCAGATGGTATATGATAGGACATACAGCATGGTTAGATTCTTGAGGTTGCTGATAGACTGTGGAATGGGTCCCACCAGACCTTGGTTGTCGAGCCACCTGCATCCACACCAGACGTCAGCATGAATGAGCACGCAGACAGGTGGAGAGTTCTGAATTGCATCCGCACCAACATCACCACCACCACCACCACTGTAACGCCCAAGGGGCTTACACGTAAGGGTATGAGTGCATCCGCTGCGCCTCAAATATAACCCTCGTTTTTTACCCAGTGGGTAGCGAGGTGTTACAACCACTATCACCCCCTTCCCAACCAAGTCATCTCCCAACCACCCACGTCCCAACCACCAACGCCTCAGCCACCCAGCTCACAACTTCTCGATCATGCCCTGCTTGTTGCAATTGAGGCCTGCCACAGTGTCGCAGTCGGTTCCGGGTGCAGGGCTGGTCCAGCTGGAGTAATCCGAGTATGCCGACGTCTGGAATTCATCCAGACATTGCACTGCGTGTTGGGGGAGGGGGCGTGTTTTTTGGGGGGGGGGGCGCGTGAGTCGACTCAAAAGTCACCCAGCTGGAGTGGCCCGAGTATGCCAACGACTGGAAGTCATTTAGACAATGCACTGCGTGTTGGGGGCCCGAAGGGAAGAGGGCGGGTTGTGTGGGGGAGGGAAGGGGGCGGGCTCCGAGAGGGGAGGGGGGTTGGGAGGGGGGGAGAGGAGAGGAGGGTGGAGTTTGGATGGTACAGTCAGGTCAGGGCGAGGAACTCCAGCTGTGCAAGGTGAGCATGGTATAATCAGCGTTCGCCTCCCCTACTGTACGCACATTGCGAGGGATCGATCGGGACGGCGCTGGTCGTCACGAGGGTTGCGAGCAGGCCCACAGCGACCCACCCTGCCAGCCAGGCGCTCCGTGCGAGCCGCCCTGTGAGCCGCCCTGCAAGCCATGCGAGCGGCGTCAGCGGGCGGGAGCGTATCCTTCTCTTTGGCGTGATCATGGCGGTCGACTGGCGATTGGTGCTCTGAGTGAGACTGGGATTGAGCGAGCGGGGAGAGTGAGAGTGAGAGTGAGAGTGAGACCAGGAGAGAATCTTTTTGAGACGCCTCAAAAATACACTCTTTTACAGGGAGCGTATCCTCCTCTTTGGCGTGATCATGACGGTCGACTGGCGATTGGCGCTCTGAGAGAAACTGACTGGGATTGAGCGAGCGGGGAAAGTGAGAGTGAGAGTAAGACCAGGAGAGAATCAGTGCGAGTGAGCGAGAATGAGAATGAGTGAGCACGAGTGAGCGAGAGAGTACGAGTGAGACGGCATGAAAACCTTTGGCGACAGGCCAGCCTCCTCCCCGTGACCGTGGGAGGGCTGGGCCTTATTGACCCAGCGGTAGAGGCAGCCCCTGCCTTAACTGCTAGCATCACACAGAGGCCGCACCTACTCCTGGCCATCTGGCTGGAGACTGGCTGACGGCATCCCGCTCGACCAGGGCCTGTGTTCCAGCCCCCAGCTGGATACCGAGACTGAATCATTCAGAGGGTCTAAGACAGAGACTGAGTCTCATCTCCTTTTAGTACATGGTGTAATGAGAGTTTCTAAGACGGAGACTGAGAACGAGACTGAGCGCGAGACTCAGACCTAGATAGACTGTGACTGAGACTTAATTTGTGAGACTGAGACTGAGACTGACTGAGGTTGAGACTGAGACTGTGACTGAGACTTAGACCGTGAAACTGAGTTTAAGACTGAGACTGAGTGTAAGACTGTGACTGAGACAGAAAAAGGCCGCGAATAAGAATGAGATTGAGACTGATACTATGACTGAGACTGAGCATGAGTGAGACTGACCGAATGCTAGCCGCTGCTTACTCGCGTAAACCGGGTTCCACCTCTTATCCCGGGTAAGCAGCAACGGATGGCGAGGCAATGACGTTAGCTGCCAGCGGCGCCTTCAACGGCCCGCGGCTTTTCGGACGGGGCGTCAAGCAAAACGACTTCAACAGCCTGGGGCTTCAACTTCTAGCAGAAAAGAAGGGCGGAAGTCAACGCCGCTGGCAGTTTGTGTGGACCGGTGAGAAAACTACTGGTAGAGCTCTGGTGGGAAATTGAGAGTCAAGTTGAGAGCGTTTGAATCGAATTTTGGGTTTATTCTAGGGGTGTGGTACAGCGGGATTGCTCGTGGTACTGCGAGAGTTCAGCTCGGTGTCAGCACGCTATTCAGTTCTACCGCCAGGGTTTACGAAGCCCTGACTCGGAGCCAGAGCTTTGAGGAGCAGCAGACACGGAGTTCAAGTCCAACTTGGAGTCGAAGCTGCCAAGGCTCAGCGCGTGCGGCCCTAGCACCAGGAGTATCATTGGTTGATGCGACCTCCTATAATGGGGAGGGGGGGCGTACTCTAGTAGGCGTTTAACGCCACGTACTAGAAAGCAGTAGTCCGCGCTCAGTCATGCGCCCTCGTGTTCACCCATCATGTCGATGCCGCGCAGCCGTTTTCCCCCAATGCTGCGCACTCGTGTTCTCCCGCGCGCATTCGCGCCCTAATGCACAATCCCCTCGACTTCAACAGTGCCTGATTTACCGTTACCATCATCCCAGCAGTCTTGTCCGACAAACGAGTCATCATGCAAACCATCCCAGACACCATGTCCCTTGCGCGGCACTCCCGGCAGAGGGGATGAAGGACCCCCCTGAGCACTAGGCGACATACTAAGGCTGTGGCGCTACAGCTGCCAGGTGAGCGATGCAGGAAGGGGCGTTGGCTCGGGCTGTTGGGACAAATGCTGCCAGGGGACACCCAGAAAAAAGCCACCCTAGGCAGACGGGTGAACCCAAACACATCAAGCATCAACGAGGACAGACGAGGTGCGAAAAGCGTCACGAAGAGCGAAACCACGCAACGAAAATTGCGTCACTTGTTCGTCGAGGCTTCAGCATGGAGCCAGAGCACTGAATGGTCATCACCCACATCCAGAGGGCACAACAATTTCTTGTACCTTATTGGGGCTGTTCGCCAGCACCATTATAGCAAAAAACGACGGGATAACGACGGGATCAGGAAGGTGGGTCTCGCCTTCCTGATCCCGTCAGTTAGAGTTCGTTAACCTCCGTCAGCCTGGTCAGCCCGTGAAAAAAGTGCCGAGCCTCACCTACCGTCCAAACCAACAAACAAAGTGGGCGTCTGGCGAACGCCCACTTTTGTCCACCAAATCTAACGCTTCGACGGCATATGGAAGCGGGGACGAAACTTCGTCCCTTGGCAAAACACCATCCCCTAGCCATGCCATCGCCATGCTGCGTTTTTCAAAGCACAGCGATGGCACAGCCGTCGCATTGCCGTTCAAAAGGGATCGAAGGGAAGGTGGGGATGGAGGCTCCCGACGCGGTTGAGAAATTTCTCAACCGCAGGCGCAGAAGTTTCCTGAACGGCATTACGGCCAAACCTCGGAGGTGGGTTCCACCTCCGTTTCCATATGCGGTCGCGACGCCGATGCCATCATTTCATTTCAAAATACGATTTGCTGGCGAACAGCACCATTGTAGCCGCATTACATTTTCTGTATAAGTCGTACACCCAGATTCGTTAATTGTCTTGATTTTCCCTACAATCATGTCCTGACTACGCCTGAGTCGCTCTCCTATATTTGCAACCCTTCCTAGCCACCTCGTTCAAAAGGTTCCTCACCGCTCACCTTTCCCAGGGCAAAATTGTGGAGCTTCAACATGTGGAGCTTCAATATGAGAAAGGGGCCAGATGGAACTTCAATATGTGGAGGTTTGAGTTATATATTTAAGTGTGCATATGTATTTAGCCTTCATTAACAACAACACGTTGTGTCGTGTATTTCGCAGGCATACACCACGTCATCACCCGCTGTTTCAATAGCTCGTCGAGATAGCAAACGTGTGAAGATGGCGTGCTCCTGTAATCCGCCACATGGCACCAACTGCTGGGTAGGGTCACGAACGTCGACCAGCACACGGTATGTGCGTGAACCTTCCCAAACCTTACCGAGCCTGCACCAGAATTCTCGAGACTCACCTTGCCGAACCATGATGTTCTGCAGGACGTGTTCAATTAGTTCGGACACGACACCAAAATTGCTGTCTAGCACGAGATTCTCGAATGTGCAGCTGATTCCAGTTCATGCAGGAAATGCTCCTCGTCATTGCCCCTGTGATCCTGAACGGGACCTTTCGTTCCATACCACTCTGGGTTTTCCAAGGCTTGCTGGAGGCAGGACAAATTGATTCCCCCTGCAACAAGCCGCCTCCGCCTCAAAGCTCAACACCCGAAGAAACTCGATAATCAGCTAGGAAGTTCTTCCAGATTTTCGCATATGTTTGTAGCTTGCAGCAGGGCTGTTCCCTCTTCCTCCGTTGTCTCGCCTTACCACAACAGTTTTTTTCCCCGGGGTGTATCTAGCAGGGGATTTTCCTGGTGCGAGACTGAGTGATTCCTGTACACCGAGAGGAAGCTGACAGGAATAGCAATGGAGTGTCTAGCTCACAGGGCCTCCGTGCCCGTCGCGCTCGCGACCCCCAAGGTCGAGCAGAAGCTTCCTGCTGCTTCCGCGTCGCTTAAGTTCGCCGCTAGCCCCGCTCTTGGTAACCAGCTCGTCGCGAAAAGTCGTCAAGCTGCACGTGCGAGCCAGCCACAGCTTAGGCGAACCACCCCTCGCTGCGAAGCCGCACCAGAAGGCGCTGCTCTTACAGCTCCTGAGAAAAAATCCTCAAGCGACGATACCATTCAACAGTTCCTGCAGCGGGATTACAAGTACGGGTTCGTGTCTAACATTGAGAATGTCCAGATTCCTAAGGGATTGACGGAGGAGACGGTGAGGCTGATTTCGGCGAAGAAGAGGGAGCCGGAGTGGATGCTGGAGTTCCGTTTGAGTGCGTTCCGACAATGGCAGAAGATGACCGAACCTGAGTGGTCGGACAATCGCTACCCGAAGATTGACTTCCAGGTATGAAGTGGATACTGATGGAAGGTAGTGAATGCAATCCCGCAACATTCAAACGTTATAAACGTTTGACAGACATAATAAAAACAATGAATGAAATCAGTCTAAAAAAACTGCATTAATCGATTCTCCGTCGAATGCGGCGGTCTTTGGTTCCTAACCGGCACGACGCCGCCTCCTATAGCCGACGAACGGGAAATATCAGCGCTGTATCGACAAAGTAGACCTCGAGCTTCGAGCTCAGTCATATTCGCTCCCTTTCCCCCCTCCTTTTCCCGCTCCCACACTTTCCCATCCTCCACATCCCAACTGCCCCCACTTTCCCCTCCCACACACACCAGGACGTGATTTACTACTCCGAGCCGAAGCAAAAGGAGACAAAGGCATCTCTCGACGAGGTCGCCCCTGAATTCCTGTCATACTCTCCCCCTTTACCCCTCACATTCCCCTCCTCGCCCACACCCACCAGGACGTCATCTACTACTCCGAGCCGAAGCAGAAGGAGACCAAGGCGTCGCTCGACGAAGTCGACCCGGAGCTGCTGGCGACGTTCGACAAGCTCGGCATCTCCATCTCGGAGCCCCAGAGCTGCTCGCGGCGTTCTTGAGGCGCCTCAACAACCCTTGTTTCCCACACACCCCCACCAGGACGTCATCTACTACTCGGAGCCGAAGCAGAAGGAGACAAAGGCATCTCTTGACGAAGTCGACCCGGAGCTGCTGTCGTATTTGCTTCCTGTACCCCCTTCCATTTCCCTCCTCCCACCTTTCCCACCCACACCCACCAGGACGTCATCTATTACTCGGAGCCGAAGGAGAAGGAGACGAAAGCCTCTCTCGACGAGGTCGACCCGGAGCTTCTCGCCACGTTCGACAAGCTCGGCATCTCCATTTCGGAGCCCCAGAGCTGCTGGCGACGGTCTTGAGGCGCCTCAACAATACCCTCCCTCACGTTTCCAACACACACCCACCAGGACGTCATTTATTACTCCGAACCGAAGCAGAAGGAGACGAAAGCCTCTCTCGACGAAGTCGACCCGGAGCTGCTGGCGACGTTCGACAAGCTCGGCATCTCCATCTCGGAGCAGAAGCGCCTCGCGAACGTCGCCGTCGACGTCGTCTTCGACTCCGTCTCCATCGCGACGACCTTTCGCGAAGAGCTCGCGAAGGCCGGCGTCATCTTCTGCTCCATCTCGGAAGCAATTCGCGAATACCCGGACCTGGTCCGGAAGTACCTGGGGAAGGTCGTACCCGTCGCGGATAACTACTACGCCGCTCTCAACTCCGCCGTTTTCAGCGACGGGAGCTTCTGCTACATCCCTAAAGACACCATCAGTCCCATGGAGCTGAGCACGTACTTCCGAATCAACGCCATGGAAACGGGTCAATTCGAGCGAACCCTAATCGTGGCTGATGACCGGAGCTATGTGAGTTATCTGGAGGGGTGCACGGCGCCTTCGTACGATAAGAACCAGCTGCACGCGGCGGTGGTGGAGCTTTGGACGGGCGAGGGCGCGGAAATTAAGTACTCGACGGTGCAGAACTGGTATGCGGGCGACAAGGACGGCAAGGGCGGGATTTACAACTTTGTGACCAAGCGCGGGCTGTGCGAGGGCAAGAACTCCAAGATCTCCTGGACGCAGGTATGCGGTTGTGAGTCATTTTATAACGAGTTTTTATGTTCTTCTGCACGCAGCTTGCACACCTCCTCCCCCCCTCCTCCACCCCTTCCTTTCTTATTATCTTCAAGGCCCCGCCCCACTTTCCCCCAACCCATATACGCGCATTTCCCCTTACTCGCCCCTGCTCGGCTTGTGACTCGTTTCCAGTACGTTTCAGTAAGTTAGTGCTCAAGGGCGACATCAGCTCGGAAAGATGTTCACTGCCAATCTGACTCTATAACGCGTACGTGCAGGTGGAAACTGGGTCCGCCATCACGTGAAAGTACCCGTCCGTGGTGCTCAAGGGCGACAACATCTCGGAAATTTGCTCACTGCCCTAGAAGTACCTTGTCTGAATCTATAACGCGTACACGCTCTGTTTTCCCTGTTTCCGCAGGTGGAAACTGGGTCCGCCATCACGTGGAAGTACCCGTCCGTGGTGCTCAAGGGCGACAACAGCTCGGGCGAGTTCTACTCCGTGGCGCTCACCAACAACAAACAGCAGGCCGATACTGGCACCAAGGTGGGTGACAAGGGGTTGCAACCTGGAAGCAGTGGGTTGCATTGTTCGACTGGTGGCTGTAGTAGCAGGGTGGCTCGGGCGAGTTCTACTCCGTGGCGCTCACCAGCAAGAAGAATTTGGCTGATGCCGGCACCAAGGTGGGTAGCGTAGCGCGTCAGGGCGTTGCAATGTGGAAGCGGTCGGGCGGTGTGACTGGTAGCTCGTAGCAAGGGTGGCTCCGGCGAGTTTTACTCCGTCGCGCTGCCAACATCTAGCAGCAGGCTGATACTGGCACCAAGGTGGGTAGCGTGACAGTCAGGGGCTCCAAGCTAGCTAGCAGGAGGACGTTTGAATCCTTGCGTAGCTTGTCGTGAAGCAGCAGCAGCAGCCGTGGCAGCAGCAAGCGGACTTAAGGGGCATTATGCCAGCTGAATTGCGAGCCGGTTGGTTGGTAGCACTTAGCAGGTGTGGGGGAGGGCAGCAGGGTCTGTGGGGTGTGGGGTGTGCTGGGATGTGGGTGTGGTAGGCGAGGCAGTAGAACCGCTATGAGACTGGTGCAGACTGGTGCAGACTGGTGTGAGGTCGTAATGGTTGAAGGGTGTTATACCCCCAGGGCGTACAGCCAGGTGCACGGTCCAAGGGCGGCTTGCTGAGAGGGAGGCATGTCTAAACCACTGCCATGGCTACCAGTCACACGGCAGCCCTGCTGCCTGAGATGCTCGACCACTAATCCTCTCTCGTCTTCCTTTCCAAGGCCGTCTTTCCCTTCACTTGGGGAAGAGCTCTTGCAGCCGCATTCTGCGAGGGCATTGGTGCTTCATGGGCGTTATTCTTACACTACGTCTCGTGCTCTTGTTCCGTCCAATCCCCTCCTTTCCTGCACGCACCAGATGATCCACGTGGGGAAGAACACGCGCAGCTGCATTGTATCCAAGGGCATTTCGGCTGGGCAGTCGCTCAACTGCTTGTCTCTCATATTGTTCCTCACAATCCCCTCCCCCGCCTCCACGCACCAGATGATCCACGTGGGGAAGAACACGCGCAGTCGCATTGTCTCCAAGGGCATCTCAGCAGGGCAGTCGCTCAACTGCTACCAGGGGCTCGTGCAGGTGCAGCCCTGAGGTGCAGCTCTGAGTAGCTCGATTCATGATCCAAGCTTGCTATTTCCTATGCTTTTCCCCTCCACGTCCCACCAGATGATCCACGTGGGGAAGAACACGCGCAGTCGCATCGTCTCAAAGGGCATTTCAGCAGGGCAGTCGCTCAACTGCTACCGGGGGCTCGTGCAGGTGCAGCCCACGGCACATGGAGCGCGCAACTACTCTCAGTGCGACTCCATGCTCATTGGGGACAATGCCGGCGCTAACACATACCCGTACATCCAGGTGCGTTACTAGTAGCATTGACCGTTGAGTGGACTCAAGGGTCACCTGGTGCAGGTGCAGCCGACGGCGCATGGAGCGCGCAACTACTCCCAGTGCGACTCCATGCTCATTGGGGATAATGCTGGGGCCAACACGTACCCTTACATCCAGGTGAGTGTTGCTAGTAACGTAATGTGCTGAGTCGACTCAAGAGTCACCTGGTGCAGGTGCAGCCCACGGCGCATGGAGCACGCAACTATTCTTAGTGCGACTCCATGCTTATTGGGGATAACGCTGGCGCTAACACGTACCCGTGATTGTTACGATGTTACGCTGTCTGTGTATGTTTTGGAGTGCCTTTGCACGTGGGTGGGTGTGCATATGCTGGTGTGAGTCTGCCTGTTAGTAGTGGTCAGATGTGTGTTGCTGGTTGGATGTTTATTTTCCCGAACATGCTCGAACCCCCTTGAATGCAGGTGAAGGATCCAACGGCACGGGTGGAGCATGAGGCATCCACATCCAAGATTGGGGAGGATCAGCTGTTTTACTTCCAGCAAAGAGGCATTGATGCCGAGAAGGCAGTGGGCATGCTCATCAGTGGCTTCTGCCGTGAGGTGTTCAACGAGCTGCCCCTGGAGTTTGCCTCCGAGGTCAACCAGCTCATGAGCCTCAAGCTCGAGGGCTCTGTTGGTTAAAAACTGTTGGGATAAGCAATGTGTCCCAATGCTGTTTGCTTTGTTTGCTGAATAAAAGAGTGGTTTACTTACTCAAAAAAGGGGTGTAAAGATATTTGGGGACGAACAAATGTACCTCAGGCTCATGGCATCGGCGGCTTCTGCCGTGATGCTTTTTCAACAAGCTGCCTCTGGAATTTGCCTCGGAGGTCAACCAGCTCATGAGCCTCAAGCTCGAGGGCTCCTTTGGTTAATTGAAATGTGTGCTATTGCTGTTTGTTTTTTGTTTGCTATATGAAAATGGTTTTCTTGTACTCAAACGAAGGTGTATAAATATTGTGGGGACAAATAAACTTCAGACTCGCGACGCGCACGACGGTAGCCTGTAACGAATCAGCTTGTGTATTGCGATCCCTTCATTTGCTCCTATGAAAGCGTTAGGGGAACAGTAGAAACCCGGGTCAGCAGCACACGATCCGTAGAATGGTCTCTTTCTGGAGTCGTCAGTTCTGAAAGGAATTTGAGGAGCTATCAGGGACAGCCCAGCAGCCATGGTTGCTGGAGCTCTAGGTCGGAACGTCGGTTCGTTGCGGCGTCGATCCTCCAGTATAACGTCGTCGTTGGGCTGTTCGATTCGTTCGTATCTCCATTCGTTGGACATCTCGATTCCATCTTACCAGCAACACTCGCCACACACCTCAAGTCCTCCTTATTCGCTCTCGCCAGTCATCGATCTTAGCGAAGCCGCTGTTGTCCCCGCTACCGATTCCTTCCATATCGTTCCCTTCCGGTTAGAATCATCTCCGTTAGGACCTCAATCTATTTCTGAAAGACTGTCCAGACTTCGCACTTCGCAAACAATATCATTTCTTCCCGATCTCTCCTGCTCTCAAGCGTTTCTTGCTCGCGTCCCGAATGTGCAATCTGCAACCTTCCCTCTCACCTCCTCCTCCTCCGTATCCCGTCCGTCCCGGTTCCCCCAAATCTTTGCGGCTCCGTTCACCTCCTCATCGCGAAAACAATCGAACACCTCCGGCCGTCAACGTAGCCGTCCGAATGACCGTCAAAACAGCCGGCAGAACGGCCGTCAGCTTGGCCGGCGAGTCAGTATCGGTGCCACCAAGCAGGAGAGCAGGCGTGGAGAGAAGATCGAGAATGAGCAGAGAACCGAGTCGCCTGGTAAAAAGGAGACATTCAGGAGAAAGAGGACTGGAGACATGGAGGATCAAAATGTTGGGAGAAAGAGAATCCGTGGGATGGAGGAGCAGACAGCTGGGAGACACGGCCGGGTCAAGCTGAAACAAAAGAGCCACGAGGACTTTCGGCAGCAGAAGCAGCAGCAGGGGTATGAACCTTCACGGCAACAGCAGCAGCGGCAGCAGCAGAAAGGGTATGAGCAGCACCGCAGCGCGCTAACAGACGATACGGACAGCGGACCAGTCCCGTGGCGACAGCTGGCACCGGTCCACTTCCCCTCCCTGCTGCCCGTTCAGGAGAGAGGGAGGAAAGGAGGAGGGATGAGGGAGGGAGAAGGGATGAGCTCTGAAGGGGAGGCTGGTGGGGTTGTGAGTGCGCGCAAGTGGGTGGCGGTGTGCTGCCCTCACATGCCAGCCAGCCTCGTGCATAAACTGTTTAGAAAGCGACTGGTAAGGGGGGAGGTAGCTGCCTTATCTACCACTTCACAAAAACAAGGAAACGAATGCACATTCTCAGCGATTTTTCCTGCTCTTACCTCATGCAATCAGGGTTTTCCTTCCCTCTCAGGTCTGAGCTGATTCATCCTTTCCGTACTTACTGTCCTTCTGTCTGTCACTTCTGTCACTCCCTCCACATTTCACCCCTTCCACCTCATCATCCACTCCACCTCGTCACCTCTCACTTCACCAAATGCGAGCCCCTTCTCCACCGTATTTTTGGAGTCAACTAGAAAGTAACTCTCACCTCATCACCTCATCACCTCTCTTACCTCTCTCACCCAGGTGCGCGCCTTTTCTCCACTGGATTCATCTTCCTCTCCCGGCACCTTGGGTCCCTCACACGCACGTTCGAACAGGCTATCACGGGTATGTTGCTGTACCAAAGCGTTATTGTTCCTAGCGGTTGCTATACTTCAAACGTAGATAGGGGCAGAACGTAGAATGCACAACATGTAGCGGCAAACCCTTCTGGCTTCATCTCTTAGTTTGTGTCTTGTTTTTGTGTGCAATGAACTCCTGTCTTGTGCTCGTGTATCATGCGTTGGAGAGGCGTGGGATGTCTGTGCGAGGTGGTGGCATGCATGGCAACATGGCATGTCATGCTGTCACCATGATGCTCATGTTTTGGCATCACTTCAATCATCTGTGCACTGGAATTGTTGGCCATCACATCATGGCATGGCATGGCATTCGATGTGGTGTCTTGGTTTGGCATGGCTTGGCTTGGTAGGTAACAGCCAGCCAAATGCTCCTTCCAGGAACCATCCTGTGCATCCCGTCTTCTGTCCAACTGCACACTGATTCGAATGCAAACGCGCCAACATTCCTGTTGAATGATGGCAAACGCGCTGCCGGGTCCTCCTCCTCCTCCTTGCCACGTGGCATTCAACCAGAGGATATCAAAATGCTACAGAACTGTGTTTTGTTCAAGGTGGGTGAGTAGGAACGCTGGAACCGAAGGTGGGTTTTTTTTAACCGTTAGATGTGTTCCATTTCTTTGAATTCTGAAAGAACTTTCACACAACATGGTCTTGACACATGTCGGTTCTGTCTTGCCTTGCCTTTCCTTTCCTTCCACTGTGACAATGCCAGCCCTTTCCTTGACGTCTTAGCACTGTGTCACGCCATTCGCCTCTCTCACGCTTCCCCCCCCCCTCTCCCCCCCCCCCTGGTTCCCCTTCCCCATCCCCTGTCTGCCAGGATGAGCACATAATCGTCATCAACAAGCCGCCTGGCCTGCCCTCCCAGGTAACAGCTTACAAGCAACCACAAGGGTGGCATGCCATCGGTTCATCCCATCACGGTTTTCCATTCTCTCCACCGCATTGCCACTTTAGATTCGCCACTCTGGCTGCATGTGGGTCCTGACTGCATCACTCACGTGGCAGCTTCATGTTGCACCTCCCATGGCGTCTGTGTGATTCTGTAGTTTTGTAGCTCTGTATGTGCATCTGTAGTGTCGTAAAAATTGCAATTCTGTACATGTGCATATCCATGTGTGACTGTATCGCAGGGGGGCTAAGAAGTGCGTCTTTCAATGGACAATCTAATGCAGCATGCCCTAGCTGCTGACTCCCCTTTGCATCTTTGAAGGTATAATCCACCGGTTCTCTATATGTGCTTATCTCCGTGTGACTGTATCGCAGGGGGGATACAAAGTGCGTCTCTCAGTGGACAATCTAATGCAGCATGCCCTAGCCGCTGACTCCCCCGAGCCTCTTCGCCTGGTTCGGACCGAACCCAGCCCTATGAGCCATAGGCACCATACTGCATGAAATACCTTGCGTACAGCATGGCTTGCCTTGTATTCAGAATGCCCTTTTTCACACCCCACTATTCACATCCTTTTGTATTATCCATGATACCCTTATTTTTGGCTTTGATTTTCTTGGCACCCTTTGCAACCCCTTGCATGCCCACATGCCTTCACATGTCCGGCTCCCGCCCAATCAGGTGCATCGCTTGGACAGGGAGACAAGTGGCGCCATGCTATTGGCCCGCTCGCCTGCCAGTGCGCGAGTCCTCTCAGCCCTGTTCCGTGATAAGAGTGCTGCTGGCGTTCTTGCTGCTGCTGCTGGTGCTGCTGATGGTGCTGCTGCTGCTGCTGCTGCTGCCGCTGGTGTTAATGATGCTGGTGATGAAAGTGATAATGTCGACGCTACCAGTGCTGCTGGCGATGAGGGGAGCACTGCTGCTGATTGGTCGAACGAGGGCGGCGTGGCACGTGTGTACTGGGCGGTCGTGATTGGCCGGCCGAAACAGCTGTCAGGGGTCATAAATGCGCCGCTGCACAGGGTTTGTGGGGTTTGCGTGTGCGTGCTTGTAAGGGTGCGTGTGGTATTATTTGCACCATTGCTTGAGGTTTGCAGTATGTGACTGTGCCTGTGTGTAAATGCGTGTGGAAGTTTGTTCGCAAGCACATGTATCGTGTACGTGTTTGACAAAAAGTGTCAGTGTGTGTGAGTGTGTGTGTGAGTGTGTGTGAGTGTGTGTGAGTGTGAGTGTGTGTGAGTGTGTGTGTGAGTGTGGGTGCACGTCGAGGTGTTAGAGTTAATCATTCAACACAGCATGCATGATGGCATGTGTACCTAAAAATTCCTCTATGTGTCTGACTGCTTCTCGCAACGATTGCATCATTCGAATGCAGATTTCCACAAGATCTTCGGTTGCTTTCTGTTTCTAGCTTCAATGTTTCCTTTCCTGCTGCTCCTTCAAATCTGGTTGGCTTTTTTTTGTTCTTATATTCCAGCCGGGCAGCGATTCAAACTCGCCCACTAAGGAGCTGCCAGCTGTCACTCTGTACCGAGTTATCCAGAGTTGCCTTCTGGTGGGTCCATGGAAGTTGCTGGTTGTGCATGAGTCGTTCCATGGTTAAGACTTTTGAAACGCCTCAGAAGGTGCTGGTGCATGGATGTTCACGGTTAACATCATATCTTTTGTTCTTCTATTCTTGACCTGCCTGGTGGTTCCATGGAAGTTTGCTGGTGGTGCATGAGTCGTTCCATGGTTATGACTTCTATCTTTTGTTCTTTTTTCACTCAAAAACTACCTGGTGGGTCCATGGAAGAAGTGCTGTTGGTGTGTGAGTAAGGTGTTCATGGGTAAGACTTTTGAGGTGCCTCAGAAGTTGTGGATGCATGGGAGGTGCTCATTGTTACGGGCTTCTTTCTCACTACACACTAAACATAACTCACTGTTTGGTGCTTACCTTTTGCATGTGTTTCGTTTGCTGGCTTGCTGCATGCAGGATACTCGTGGTTGGAGCTGCGCCCATTGACCGGACGGAAACACCAGGTCTGTGTTTGTGTGCGTGCATGTGTGTGCATCACAGTCCTGGTGCTCATGCTAAAGCAGAATTTCCTTCTTTTCCAACTCTTACGCCCTCAGCCCCCCTCCCTCCCCCCCTCCCCCCCCCCCCCCCCCCCCCCCCCCCCCCCCCCCCCCCCCCCACACACTCTCTCCGACTTTGTTGCCGCAACTGTACACTTGGAATTGAATCTTGCAACTTGAACCACCTGACCCATGTGTCGTTGTTGCGCGATCAGTTATTTCCGTTCCGTCTGGTTGTAGAATGGATTGGTTTTATTCTCGCTTCACACCACTTGTTTGTACATTGGTCCGATGTTTCCATTTTCCTCATTCTTTCAGCTGCGCATTCACTGTGCCTTGGCACTTGGGTGCCCGATACAAGGCGATATGACGTACGGGGCATGGGCGCACAAAGGAGTATCTCGTGTACCTTTAGAAACTACACCTCACACAGCTCTTCCTGATGGACTGCACCTTCATGCGCGGTCGATAGAAGTGCCTTTTTTGGTTACATCTGATGATTGGCATTCACAAGACGATACAATAGGGCGGACGAAGAGGCGTGCCAATGGGGAGAGAAGTGCACATGGGGTGATGACAGGAAAACATGGTTGTGGAAAGAGAACTTTCACTGCGCCTATTCCAAGGCACATGGCAGAAACATTTTCCGTTCTTGCATTTGACAGTGGAATCAGTTGAGTTTTCCAACGTTTCATACCAACTTCATTCGTTCCATGCTCGTCCTTGTTATGCAGTCTTAGGGCGTGTAAAATCGGGGAGCATTTTGAAAAATGAGGTTTGGCCGGGATTTTGTCGACCAAATGGTCGACACTTCTTTCGCACATGTCGACCACATGGCCGACTCAGTGTCGGCCAATAACCGGCCATTTTTTCCAGGCCTGCAAATTTTACAACTTCCAGGAGCTAATTGCTGACCAACTCCAGAAAGTTGTAAACTTTCAAATGGCCGAATTGTGCGACGGAGTCGCACATGTGCACCCGATTTTGGAACGCCCTTGCACCCCAATCTCAACCACAGCCTGAACATTGCTACCGCGGCTCCGTTCACATACGGTTCGGCATAGCACAATTAGCCAAAAGCGGTTTAGGGTTTCTGATTGGCGTCGCATGCGGAAACGTGCGACACCTGATGCCAATGTCGCAACGACGGGGCGGTAACGTGGCTGGTTTCGAGTCGACTCGACGTTGGAAGGCGAGTCGACCAATTAGACGGCCATCAAATTCGCTGAATCTGGGCGAAATGGTTGTCGTGAATTTCGTAACAGTGTTACTTTCGCCAATTCGGCCATTCGGCTTGTGGCCGAATATTTGTGTCTCCCGATTTTACACGCCCTTATGGAGCCAGTGCATATCTCGTACATTCGAAATCGTACGTCTTTTTCGTCACCTGCTGAAGCACAGCAACGCTGGCTGGCGGTAGGTACAACTGCTGAAGCAAAGCAACGTTTTCTTGTCAGCAACGTTTTCGTTTTCGTTTTTGAAAGCAACTGGCCCTCCTAACAGCTGCCGCTGGCCCCTCCTAGCCTCGACGGTAGGGTCGCATCCTTCTTGGCATTCCGGATACGGCACAGGAAATATCTAGGCTTGTAGTAATACACAGACGCGGAGACCCGTGACCGCACCACAACTACTTGGATGGACGGTATCGTGGATTCGTGGAAGCTTTCATCGCCAGTCGCATCCTTATCCACGTCAGACCCTCCTTTCCGGCTCATTGACTGTCACGCGCACACATACCCGTCCCAGTTCCCCGACACCGACTTCCTCCCTCTCCTCCGCCGTGCTGCTGCAGCGTGCGTCTCTCACATCGTCACGGTTCCGGAAACCCTAGCAGACGCTCACGAGGTCCTGGCTCTGGCGCAATCCCATCCGCTCATCTTCCCCGCAGAATGCGAATCTGGAATTTCGCACCCGGCGAACCAATCCGAACCTTCTGCCTCGGCTCGGCACAGCTCGGACATTTTCGGATTGAGAATCGCTCCTGCCATCGGGCTGCACCCAGTCCAGCCCGGACCATATCCGCCTGACGTGGACACCACGTCAGCAGGCTGTAACGAAGCGTCAGCCTCGGCATTATCTCACTCCGTCCAGTTGTGCGAGCTGGAGCCAGTGTTGGATCTCATTCGGTCCAAGGCGGAATGTAGCGTGCAGGGAAGGACAGGAAACACAGTGCATGAAATGGATGGTGACGACAGCCCCTCGGCAGCGGACACAACAAAGGAGGGGAAAGGAACCTCAGTGCCTTTGGTTTGCGTTGGCGAGATTGGCCTAGATTTCAGCCCGAATGTGGTGGGCAAGTCAACGGGTGGTGATAGCAGCAGCAGCAATAACAGCAACAGCAACAGCATCAATGGTAACCGCGGCATAAGTGCTTTGCAATCAGAGGAGCTCAAGAGCGTGCAAAGGGAGGTGTTTCGGCGCCAGCTTTCTTTGGCAGCAGAGCTGGGTTTGCCAGTCAATGTCCACTCTCGCAGCGCGGGACATCATGCCATAGAGGAAATTGTCCAGTCAGGACTTCCTGCCACGTCAGCAGCGTTGATGCATGCGTTTGATGGGCGGCTTGTGCATGCTGAACGGGCTGAACGGCATGGTGGCTTTTTCTTCTCTGTGCCACCTTCTATTGTCCGGTCGCCACAAAAGCAGGTGCGTCATGTAACCTCAAGTGATTGCTGGGTACGTGGAGTTGATGTGAATAGTATGATGAGTGTGGGGTGGTACTGCACAGACCCTAACAGCTAGCTGTTTCCTCATGTTTTCCTTTTTTTCTTGTTCATGTGTGAATTGTTTTGTGGGCAAATTGCAGAAACTCTTGAAGGGCCTTCCTCTTTCGTGCCTTGTGCTGGAAACGGACTCCCCTGCGCTTGCCCCTGAAAAGGGTGCCACTAATGAGCCATGCAATATTGTAGTTTCCTGTAGGGAAATAGCTCGCATTCATGGCGTGACTGTTGCTGAAGTGGCCAAGACCACATATGAGAATGCTATGCGTCTCTTTCCGCGTCTGATTCTGTTGTGAGAACCTGGAAGTAGTGATAGATGTACCCGTATCTGCTACCACGAACTGTTTGTGCTTTTTGTTAACGAAGCTTTCCAATCGGGTTTTCTGAAACCTCATCCATTGTGGGAGAACCGTTGTGACATGATATTTTGCCCCACGTCGGCTCTCATTTCGCATCCACATATCCAAATGTCGTCGTTTTGGTTCCGAAGTGAATTCGTTGTCGCAGCTTGGCTCGTCGATGCGCAACAAATCGACGATCACCAACCATGCCGACATTGCCCAAGTGAAAAAGTACAGTCAGAGCTCCACGTCGGGAACTAAAGTACGCTTGACCAATCCGAGTGTTCCGCGTTCAACGAATAGTTGCCTCGTCAGCCTAGCAACAGCCACCTGCAACTGCGCATGACACTCCCCATACCGCTGCGCACACCGATGATCCACACATCGCCACAGAAAGCCCAGGTGCTGGCTCCTTCCGCCAGCCAACTCTGTTCCCAGAATTGACTGAACGGAAATCCCCGAGGAGCCATGTCAGCAAGCTGACGGTAATCGTCAGCTGGCAAACAGAAGTCGTCAGTTAGCTCTCACTCACCCCAAACCACTCACTGCTAACCCATCCATCCAACATCAATTGCTCTTTTATCTGCTGCTTCTCTCCTTTTCGCTCTCTTTCAAGTTTGCAGCTTTCCCTCGCCTCCTTGTTTCAGAGGCTCCCCTAGTTTCCCCTGATTCTCAATCAGCCTCGCATTTTCCAATGGCTGCCGTCACTCTTTCACAGACAGCCACGGCCTCTTGCCGTGCTACTTTCAGCTCAGTGAAGCTTGAGTCGAAGCTCAAGAGGTCCGTCAGCCTCGCTGTGCTGCCCGCCTTTGCCTGGAAGTCTGCTGGCGTTGCTTCGACCGCCTCGTTCAAAGGAGTCGGCTCGGTTGTCGTCAGAGCGGTCGCGGAGGATGTGCAGGGTGGCGGGAACTACGGTGCTCCTCGCGAGATTCCAGGCACCAAGATCTATGTCGGCAACTTGCCGTTCAACGTCGACAGCGAGTCGCTTGCTGAGATCTTCCAGGAGGCTGGCATCGTGGAGCTTGTGGAGGTGAGTTCGCATTTTAAGCTCTTGGTTTTAGTTTTTATATCAGTTGAAGGTTCAAGTACGTGCCAGAGTTTGTTCCCGTTCGTGATTGAGAGTCAATTGAAACTGTTCGATTTTCTCGTCTAGTTTTGATTCATTCATTTTCTCGTTAAACCAGCAGTTGACTCCCGTTCGTGATTGAGAGTCATTTGAAACTGTTCGATCTTCTCGTCTAGTTTTGATTCATGCATTTTCTCGTTAAACCCGCACTCGACCAATTCCTGAAATCTTGTCTGTCTGCTATTCGTTTTTTATTTTCGCTGCTCCTGAGCGTCCAGGTGATCTACGACAGGGAGTCCGGTCGCAGCAGGGGTTTCGGTTTCGTCACCATGAGCACCCCCGAGGAGGCTCAGGCTGCCATCGAGAAGTTCGACGGCTCGGTGAGTTGACATTTGTCGTTTTTTTCCGCTAAGGTACATTCGCCACATTCGCGAAGGATTTAAGAGAACTGTTCCTGCGCCGTTATTTGGTGCTGTTGGGGACAAACTCACATGTGAGGGTGAATGATAAAAAGTCTAGTAATGACTAATGACTCATTGTAACTATTTGTGCTTCGGTCTTCATAATCATTGTTTGTCTGTCCGTTTTAACTTTCGTTAACTCATGCAGGAACTCGGCGGCCGCATGCTGAAGGTCAACATGCCCGTTCCCCGCGGCGAGCGCGAGAGGGGTGCGCGCAACGAAAGGCCACGTGGCGACAGGCCGCGTTTCAACGGTAACCAGAGCAACAAGCTTTACGTCGGCAACTTGTCGTGGGGCATGGACGACATGGCTCTGGAGGATCTGTTCGCGGAGTTCGGCAAGGTGCTCGAGGCCAAGGTCGTTCTTGATCGCGACTCCGGCAGGTCCCGAGGGTTCGGCTTCGTGACCCTGTCGAGCGAGTCGGAAGTTCAGGAGGCGATCTCGAACCTCGATGGAGCTGTAAGTGCCGATTTTACTCTCAGAATGAGACTGCGTTGAGGCTTGTCGTTTGTCAATATTTGTTTCCTGCGTAGTGAAGTTCCAAGCAAACCCCCATGCTTTGTTGGATTATTCTCACCTTGTCTCTCGTGTCCCGCTTTTTATTCTCGTTGTCTCAGGACGTTGACGGCAGACAACTGCGGGTCAATGTCGCTGCTCCCAAGCAGTAGCAGCGCTTTTCTCAGCATTCCCTGCAGGGGTTTTCTATCTCCTTTCACGACTATTAGGTATCAGTTATGGACCGTTTGGGTTTCCGTCCTCTGTATTGATCGCTGCATTAAGTTTTTACCTTTCCTACTGCAACCGGTTTTTAGTCACGTGACCATGAAACTGCAAACTCTGAAGACCACACATTTCACGCGCATAACCCCTTCTCCCCTCACTCGTACGCTTGTGCGCGGACCTTAAGGGGGCTCGCATGTTATTTTCTTGCCCATCCTCTTCCCACTCTCATTCCGACTCTCCCTCATCCCCCCCCTTCCGCGTGCTTTGCGTCGCCCTACCTCGTCCCCTCGTTCTCTGACTCTCTTTTCTTCTCCAGTTGGTCCTGGTTCCCTTTCTTGTCCTCGTTCTTCCCTCCTTACTTGCTATCCACCTTCCGTTTTCTGTCCCCCTGTTCATTGCTGCTTGCTCTGCACGCCTTCCACTGAGTTGTCGTTACCCTGTAGCCTATTGTGGGTGTTCCCCATTCCAGTTCCTCATCTACTCCCGTCAGCTGTTCTACTCGCAAGCTCGTCCTCCTGTCTGTGTCACCCGTCCCTTTCTGTCTCCGCTCGTTCACTGCATGAGCTGCCCTTCTGTGCACTAAGTTCTCTGTCCCCTAAGTCCTCGTTCACTCCTGTGCCCTTCCCTTGTGTTCCCTAGCTGTGTTTTTTCTGATGTAAGTGCGCTTAGGCTGTGCTGCTTCGCTCCCTACTAAAACCACTCGTTTTCCATATCTGCACGTTTGTCACCTCCATCCTTGCTTCACAATTCCCAAGATCTTCTCACTGAAGGCATAAATGAAACACTTGCATGCTGTACCTACGCTATGTGCCCTCTCTGGGAAATTTAGCTGCTTTCGGACAATTGCAATTTGGTGGTAAGCGTCAGGGAACACCTCTCAAACAACCTAAATAGAAGTTACTTGGTCCCAGGGCCCAAATTTCAAGGGTAAAATACCCTTTTTGCCCTGATGGTAGGCCGCTTTTTCCCAGTTACCCTTGCCAAAACAGGGTATCAAATTTTTAACCCTAGAGCAAACAGGCTAAGATTTGATTTACACTGATAACGATTTCTGTTACCCTGCCGATATCAGGGTGCACTGTATACTTCACTGGTACCGAATCCTCTCTAGCGAGGGTTTTCCCTGCGAAGCCGCAAAAGGATTTGTGCACCCACCAGATTTGAACACGCGACCTTCCTAATCCTAGCCTAACATCTGACCAACTGGGACGTACCACGTCGAGATACATTACAAACATAAATGATTTCGTTTATTAATTATTCTTCACTCTTTAAAAATCAGTGTATTGGTATTTTTAGGCTGTTTTTGGCAGGGTACGAAATATTTTACCCTAACAGTCAGGGTACTGGGGGCCTGGAACCCTGATTTGAAAGAGTGGACCTAAATCTACCGTATTTTGGGCCCTGCTTGGTCCATCTTACAATGACACATTGTACCACATCTTACCACACCATTTCGTGAAGGGCTTGATTTATAAGCTGTGGCTGCGCTATGGTGCATTCCACATCTATTTTCCATCGTTAAAACCACTGCACACCTGAAAACATGTTTTCTATGTTTTAACGAGTCCAGCACAGTAAAGAAGTTTGTTGTGTAAAAGGTGTAGTGAACGGTGTCCGAGTTATGTTATTATAACTGCATACAAGTCTAGCTATAAGTGTAGTGGTGTTACATTTCTGTTAGGTGGTGCACCTCTTGGTTGTTCCTTGTATAAACCAACTCTCTCTCCTAAACCCTAGTCTCTACTAGCTACTATTCCGTCCGCCCGTCCGCGCGCGCTCTGCCCTGCCCGTCCGCACGCTCGTTTCCCCCCGTTCCCGTCGCCCGCGGCCCCCCGTTCCCGTCGCCCGCGGCCCCCCCGTTCCCGTCGCCCGCGGCCCCCCGTTCCCGTCGCCCGCGGCCCCCCCGTTCCCGTCGCCCGCGGCCCCCTGTTCCCGTCGCTCGGGGCCCCCCGTTCCCGTCGCCCGCGGCCCCCGTTTCGTCGCCCCGCGCCCCCCTTTCATCGCCCCGCGCGGACGCCAGCGCCACGGCCAGCCGCGAGCGCCAGCGCGGCCCGCCAGGGCAGACGCCAGCGCAGCCGCCAGCCGCCAGCTCCTGCGCCACCATCAGCGCCAGCAGCAGCTACCGCCGCCCCACCCCCCCGCCCTCCCTTCCGCGGCTTCCGTAGTGGAGGGGGGGGGGGGAAGGGGGAAGGGGAGATGTGGGGGCGGCGGGTGTGAGCCTCCAGCAATCCGTCCCTCCCCTCTCTCTTCCTCTTTTCCTGCAGCACTAGTTGCTGTAGGAGAAAGGGGGGGGGGGGGATGAGAGATGCTAAGGGAGGGTAAGAGAGAGTGGTGGAACCAGTAGCCACGCATCTGCAGCTGCCGTCCACTGCTACTGTGGCACCTACTTCTGCAGCCCCTGACGCTTCTCCCTCTACGTTCGTCTTCTTTGCTGTTGAGCTGCAAACTAAGCGCGCCACAGCACATCGTCTTCGTTCTCTCTTTCTTGCCTCAGGGCTTGCTGCAGCTGTCTCTGCCACCACTGCACTGGTTGTCACTGCTCTTGCGTTCTGCTGCTTTGGTCTGCTCTGTGTACCCCTGCAGGTTGTGTTCTACACTTTGCTCTTTCTGTATGCAGTTAAGGGGGGATGTCCGAGTTATGTTATTATAACTGCATACAAGTCTAGCTATAAGTGTAGTGGTGTTACATTTCTGTTAGGTGGTGCACCTCTTGGTTGTTCCTTGTATAACTCTCTCGTCACTTCTCAATCACAATCCTCGTTTGGCCAACTCTCTCTCCTAAACCCTAGTCTCTACTAGCTACTATTATAACAAACGGCTGGACTTTTCATGAAACTGGTTACAGTTGGGCCAAACGGATATGCCGGGAATGCAAAAGCTCTCTAATGACCTGCCAGAAGCTAGAGTTTACTCGTGTGCAGCTTGATATCAGCCATATTGGACAAAGAATGAGAACTTACATTCTACTTATTAGCCACCTACTTAGCATTACTACTTAGCACTAACATCAGCATTGAGTTAAACACTAACACTGAGGATGCCTAAAACGGGCTAATAAATTTAGCTGCACTGAGCAGCACTTTAGGAACCATCCACTTGCGCTCTGGTCCCAGTGCTTCTGCTCTCGGCCCCACACCAACCGGCTCTTGCATTCCTGGTCTTGGCAGCAACCCAACAGTGGCAGCGTCTATATCACCTCCAGCACACGCAGCACGCTTATCACAATTCTGAGAACTGAAATTTGCCTCCCCAACAACGCAACACTGCCCTCCTGAGCACTGGGCAGCGATTTCTCCGGGAACAATGACGGCACCAGGAATTGATCCCTGAACCTTCGCAAAATCACCCAATCCAGGCGACACAGTAGCAGAAGATGCAGCAGCGGAGGCTTGAGAGGCAGGAACAGAGGTGGACGAGGCAGGCCTTATGGAAGACGCAGCTTCTGCTGCATGATCCAATGCTGACATGGCGGACTCTGATTGGTGGCTGTGGCTGTGCCGATCCACGTGGTACACTATTTCCAAAATATCTTCCACCAGCTCGTCCCTGCCGCCCCGAAACAGGTCCTGAGATGGAATAGGGGGAGGGAAAATGTTAAAGGGAATCTGATAGGCTGCTGTGGCTGTGACTGTGCTGATCCACTGCATACACTATCTCCAAAATATCCTCCACCAGCTCGTCTCTGCCGCCCCGAAACAGATCCTATGGTGACGAGATAGTTGGGCAGGCGAAAAGTGAGAGGTAAGGAGGAAGGGAGAGGAAAGGATGAAGGGAGAGGTAAGGAGGAAGGGAGAGGTAAAGAGGAAGGGAGAGGCAAGGAGGAAGGAAAAGCTCTGCGTTAACCAGGTTCTGTTGGCTGTACTATAGGAAGCTCCTTCATCTGCAACATATGTTCCCCTGCAATTTGCCCTTTGAACCACAACTTCTGTTGTAGAGATTTTGTGGTGTGAGATCAATGTAATTTCTTGCCACTGTACACAGCTTCACTCTCGTCCTTGATGTACACTTCATAATGCGATTCATAGTACCTGTAAAGTGAGGTCGATGTGTCCCTTGCCACTGTACAGCTTCACTCTCGTCTCCACCCCTGCTGTCTGTAACGCTGCTCCAAAGTCCTCACTGTTATGCCATGCCATGTGATGCCATGCCATGCCATGCCATGCCATGCCACGCCATGCCATGCCACGCCATGCCATGCCATGCCATGCCACACACCGTACCATGCCAGCGATATATTGCATGGAGGACGAGGAAGGCGTCGGTGAGGTGAGGTGAGGTGAGGTGAGGTGAGGTGAGGTGAGGTGAGGTGAGGTGAGATGAGGTGAGGTGAGTTGAAGTCACATGGGTTGCACACTGTCAACATAGTGCTTTTAAGAAACAGTTGAGGCAGTATAACAAATAATACAGAAGCATGCGTGACTGTAACGTGTAGCATGTGTAGTGAAGGTGAAAGCGTATGAGGCATAGAAATGCACCTGGCAGTGAAGGGCACGTAGATGCTATCTACAGTCAGACTTGCTGCCTACTGTGCACCTCTAACAGGTGTGAAAATAGCATACCTGGCAGTGAAGGGCACGTAGATGCTATCTACAGTCAGACTTGCTGCCTACTGTGCACCTCTAACAGGTGTGAAAATAGCATACCTGGCAGTGAAGCACACGTAGATGCTATCTACAGTCAGACTTGCTGCCTACTGTGCACCTCTAACAGGTGTGAAAATAGCATACCTGGCAGTGAAGCACACGTAGATGCTATCTACAGTCAGACTTGCTGCCTACTGTGCACCTCTAACAGGTGTGAAAATAGCATACCTGGCAGTGAAGCACACGTAGATGCTATCTACAGTCAGACTTGCTGCCTACTGTGCACCTCTAACAGGTGTGAAAATAGCATACCTGGCAGTGAAGCACACGTAGATGCTATCTACAGTCAGACTTGCTGCCTACTGTGCACCTCTAACAGGTGTGAAAATAGCATACCTGGCAGTGAAGCACACGTAGATGCTATCTACAGTCAGACTTGCTGCCTACTGTGCACCTCTAACAGGTGTGAAAATAGCATACCTGGCAGTGAAGCACACGTAGATGCTATCTACAGTCAGACTTGCTGCCTACTGTGCACCTCTAACAGGTGTGAAAATAGCATACCTGGCAGTGAAGCACACGTAGATGCTATCTACAGTCAGACTTGCTGCCTACTGTGCACCTCTAACAGGTGTGAAAATAGCATACCTGGCAGTGAAGCACACGTAGATGCTATCTACAGTCAGACTTGCTGCCTACTGTGCACCTCTAACAGGTGTGAAAATAGCATACCTGGCAGTGAAGCACACGTAGATGCTATCTACAGTCAGACTTGCTGCCTACTGTGCACCTCTAACAGGTGTGAAAATAGCATACCTGGCAGTGAAGCACACGTAGATGCTATCTACAGTCAGACTTGCTGCCTACTGTGCACCTCTAACAGGTGTGAAAATAGCATACCTGGCAGTGAAGCACACGTAGATGCTATCTACAGTCAGACTTGCTGCCTACTGTGCACCTCTAACAGGTGTGAAAATAGCATACCTGGCAGTGAAGCACACGTAGATGCTATCTACAGTCAGACTTGCTGCCTACTGTGCACCTCTAACAGGTGTGAAAATAGCATACCTGGCAGTGAAGCACACGTAGATGCTATCTACAGTCAGACTTGCTGCCTACTGTGCACCTCTAACAGGTGTGAAAATAGCATACCTGGCAGTGAAGCACACGTAGATGCTATCTACAGTCAGACTTGCTGCCTACTGTGCACCTCTAACAGGTGTGAAAATAGCATACCTGGCAGTGAAGCACACGTAGATGCTATCTACAGTCAGACTTGCTGCCTACTGTGCACCTCTAACAGGTGTGAAAATAGCATACCTGGCAGTGAAGCACACGTAGATGCTATCTACAGTCAGACTTGCTGCCTACTGTGCACCTCTAACAGGTGTGAAAATAGCATACCTGGCAGTGAAGCACACGTAGATGCTATCTACAGTCAGACTTGCTGCCTACTGTGCACCTCTAACAGGTGTGAAAATAGCATACCTGGCAGTGAAGCACACGTAGATGCTATCTACAGTCAGACTTGCTGCCTACTGTGCACCTCTAACAGGTGTGAAAATAGCATACCTGGCAGTGAAGCACACGTAGATGCTATCTACAGTCAGACTTGCTGCCTACTGTGCACCTCTAACAGGTGTGAAAATAGCATACCTGGCAGTGAAGCACACGTAGATGCTATCTACAGTCAGACTTGCTGCCTACTGTGCACCTCTAACAGGTGTGAAAATAGCATACCTGGCAGTGAAGCACACGTAGATGCTATCTACAGTCAGACTTGCTGCCTACTGTGCACCTCTAACAGGTGTGAAAATAGCATACCTGGCAGTGAAGCACACGTAGATGCTATCTACAGTCAGACTTGCTGCCTACTGTGCACCTCTAACAGGTGTGAAAATAGCATACCTGGCAGTGAAGCACACGTAGATGCTATCTACAGTCAGACTTGCTGCCTACTGTGCACCTCTAACAGGTGTGAAAATAGCATACCTGGCAGTGAAGCACACGTAGATGCTATCTACAGTCAGACTTGCTGCCTACTGTGCACCTCTAACAGGTGTGAAAATAGCATACCTGGCAGTGAAGCACACGTAGATGCTATCTACAGTCAGACTTGCTGCCTACTGTGCACCTCTAACAGGTGTGAAAATAGCATACCTGGCAGTGAAGCACACGTAGATGCTATCTACAGTCAGACTTGCTGCCTACTGTGCACCTCTAACAGGTGTGAAAATAGCATACCTGGCAGTGAAGCACACGTAGATGCTATCTACAGTCAGACTTGCTGCCTACTGTGCACCTCTAACAGGTGTGAAAATAGCATACCTGGCAGTGAAGCACACGTAGATGCTATCTACAGTCAGACTTGCTGCCTACTGTGCACCTCTAACAGGTGTGAAAATAGCATACCTGGCAGTGAAGCACACGTAGATGCTATCTACAGTCAGACTTGCTGCCTACTGTGCACCTCTAACAGGTGTGAAAATAGCATACCTGGCAGTGAAGCACACGTAGATGCTATCTACAGTCAGACTTGCTGCCTACTGTGCACCTCTAACAGGTGTGAAAATAGCATACCTGGCAGTGAAGCACACGTAGATGCTATCTACAGTCAGACTTGCTGCCTACTGTGCACCTCTAACAGGTGTGAAAATAGCATACCTGGCAGTGAAGCACACGTAGATGCTATCTACAGTCAGACTTGCTGCCTACTGTGCACCTCTAACAGGTGTGAAAATAGCATACCTGGCAGTGAAGCACACGTAGATGCTATCTACAGTCAGACTTGCTGCCTACTGTGCACCTCTAACAGGTGTGAAAATAGCATACCTGGCAGTGAAGCACACGTAGATGCTATCTACAGTCAGACTTGCTGCCTACTGTGCACCTCTAACAGGTGTGAAAATAGCATACCTGGCAGTGAAGCACACGTAGATGCTATCTACAGTCAGACTTGCTGCCTACTGTGCACCTCTAACAGGTGTGAAAATAGCATACCTGGCAGTGAAGCACACGTAGATGCTATCTACAGTCAGACTTGCTGCCTACTGTGCACCTCTAACAGGTGTGAAAATAGCATACCTGGCAGTGAAGCACACGTAGATGCTATCTACAGTCAGACTTGCTGCCTACTGTGCACCTCTAACAGGTGTGAAAATAGCATACCTGGCAGTGAAGCACACGTAGATGCTATCTACAGTCAGACTTGCTGCCTACTGTGCACCTCTAACAGGTGTGAAAATAGCATACCTGGCAGTGAAGCACACGTAGATGCTATCTACAGTCAGACTTGCTGCCTACTGTGCACCTCTAACAGGTGTGAAAATAGCATACCTGGCAGTGAAGCACACGTAGATGCTATCTACAGTCAGACTTGCTGCCTACTGTGCACCTCTAACAGGTGTGAAAATAGCATACCTGGCAGTGAAGCACACGTAGATGCTATCTACAGTCAGACTTGCTGCCTACTGTGCACCTCTAACAGGTGTGAAAATAGCATACCTGGCAGTGAAGCACACGTAGATGCTATCTACAGTCAGACTTGCTGCCTACTGTGCACCTCTAACAGGTGTGAAAATAGCATACCTGGCAGTGAAGCACACGTAGATGCTATCTACAGTCAGACTTGCTGCCTACTGTGCACCTCTAACAGGTGTGAAAATAGCATACCTGGCAGTGAAGCACACGTAGATGCTATCTACAGTCAGACTTGCTGCCTACTGTGCACCTCTAACAGGTGTGAAAATAGCATACCTGGCAGTGAAGCACACGTAGATGCTATCTACAGTCAGACTTGCTGCCTACTGTGCACCTCTAACAGGTGTGAAAATAGCATACCTGGCAGTGAAGCACACGTAGATGCTATCTACAGTCAGACTTGCTGCCTACTGTGCACCTCTAACAGGTGTGAAAATAGCATACCTGGCAGTGAAGCACACGTAGATGCTATCTACAGTCAGACTTGCTGCCTACTGTGCACCTCTAACAGGTGTGAAAATAGCATACCTGGCAGTGAAGCACACGTAGATGCTATCTACAGTCAGACTTGCTGCCTACTGTGCACCTCTAACAGGTGTGAAAATAGCATACCTGGCAGTGAAGCACACGTAGATGCTATCTACAGTCAGACTTGCTGCCTACTGTGCACCTCTAACAGGTGTGAAAATAGCATACCTGGCAGTGAAGCACACGTAGATGCTATCTACAGTCAGACTTGCTGCCTACTGTGCACCTCTAACAGGTGTGAAAATAGCATACCTGGCAGTGAAGCACACGTAGATGCTATCTACAGTCAGACTTGCTGCCTACTGTGCACCTCTAACAGGTGTGAAAATAGCATACCTGGCAGTGAAGCACACGTAGATGCTATCTACAGTCAGACTTGCTGCCTACTGTGCACCTCTAACAGGTGTGAAAATAGCATACCTGGCAGTGAAGCACACGTAGATGCTATCTACAGTCAGACTTGCTGCCTACTGTGCACCTCTAACAGGTGTGAAAATAGCATACCTGGCAGTGAAGCACACGTAGATGCTATCTACAGTCAGACTTGCTGCCTACTGTGCACCTCTAACAGGTGTGAAAATAGCATACCTGGCAGTGAAGCACACGTAGATGCTATCTACAGTCAGACTTGCTGCCTACTGTGCACCTCT